GGAGGGTCGACCATGAAAGGGGAACCTTGGATAGGGTGAAGATATGTCTAATTGAAGGCATGTGATGGGCTACATTAGGGTGATGAGGGTAATAGGTGAGAGAAATATTCAAAAAACTCACCAACTAGGGAGAAAGCTAGATCTGGTAGAAGGGAAACTAAGATAACGCTACGGTCTCAATGCCTATGCGATACCAAAGAATGACCCAACTTAGGGAGAACCCGCTAAGTGAGAACCATCATGCGACACATACAAGGGAATGCACAAGGCATGGTGGTGGCTTTAAGCGATCACGTTCAAAGTAGCCAAAGACGATAAGGTAATTAAAGTCATTGAAGTGGTCGATGACGTCAATAAAGTAGAACATGTTATTCGCTAAAATATGACATTATATTGTGTCCTCTTTCTAACGATTTCATTTCTGGTTGCAGCCTAAGAAACGTAGGCACACCCATCCACTCGCCCTAAATGCGGAAGTGTGTTGGGATCCATACTTATTAAACTTTATAAATAAGATAAGCAAGGTGTCATGGTTGAATCCTTGTTGGATAATATAATTTTTTAGGTTATCCCAATGTTGTACAGGCAGGACCATCCTCTCGCCTAAGACGGATGTTTGGATGTTTGATGAGATCCAGACTTGTTTAGATGACTTAGTGTAATGATAGGCACGCCCATCTGGGAACCACGTGCGGAAGTGTGTTGAGATCCATACTTGTTAAACTTAAAGTTTATAAATGTGATGAGCAAGGTGTCATGATTGAATCCTTGTTGGATGATACATTTCTTTACTAGGTTATCCCAAAGTTGTGCAAGCATACCCAACATCTCACCCGAGACGGTTGTTTGGATGTTGATGAGATCCGAACTTCTTTAGAATACTTAGTGTAATGATAGGCACGCCCATCACATCGCCTGATATGAGAAAGTGTGTTGAGAACCATACTTGTTTACAATTGTGGTGAGCAAGGTGTATTGTAAGAACCAGTTAATTTTGACATACAAGTTCGTTTTGTGCGACAACACCTGTCATACTATACAAGAACTTCAAATTTTACTTATTTCCGATCGAAATCCGCACTTTAAATGACCATGCACAAAAGGTTTGGGTGCGAAAGCAGAGTTGTTGATTACATGTAATGCAGGTGGTCACAAGGCATGTGATTCTATGCACAAGCTAGAGACATGATGCTAGTGATCTTTACATAATGAACCGCACACTCACACACTCGCTGAAATTTGTCATGCACCACAGACCAATTTGTCATATCGCACTACAATTACGTATATTATATGATGTCAATCATTTGTACACTTTTGGTTGAGTTGAACAAAATTTGAAACATGAAACGCAATGCGTACTAAGTACTTGTTCCGCCGCATGAGAGACGACTGGGACGTGACAGAGATTACATAGTCTGTACATGAAGCCAGACATGCAATGATTCTGCAAAAGACAACTCAAACTCGCAACGATAAAAGAAAGCAATATTGTTGTCAAAACGATAGTTGAATAATGTCATGATTTACAAAATATAATCATTAATAAATTGAATACTTTTAAAAGAAAGTTTCTAAGTCAATCAAATCCATCGAAGACAACGACATTCTAAGATATATGATGTCAATTGTCATCAAATAAGCGGGATATCTTTACAAGATAACTTAAGGTGGTGGATCACCACGTTGCAACAGTGTCGCAAACATCGACATGAACACACCTCAACTAGCCCCATCCACTTGTCTTGGAATTCCTTCCACCACAACATTTCCCGCTATCGATTTCCAACTCCTACCAGACCGCCTATGTAATGTTTGACGTTTCAAATACTGTACTATCAACTCGAAAACACTATTATAAACACTCGAATCAGCTACAATACGACCAAAAGAATCAAAAATTTCGAGGACATTATCTCTCAAGTTCACAGAAAGGAGGATTCAGTGATCATTATCTTTGTGGACAAGAACGAAGATAATATTGTATTGAATCAGATCTACATTTTTAGCCCACCTGTCCACCTCACCGTGTCCTTGAAGTTGCAATTTACTTAAGAAGAATGAATTAAAGCTGAAGACTTAAAGGCCTGACGGGATGTCATGTGACACACATGCGGTCGATGCTTTCGGAGGCGTAGCCTAACATGCTCGCCCGAATGCGAACTATCACCCAAAACCCTTCGAACAAGAACATAAAAAAAAGTCTCAAAAACATATGAGAAAACTATATGTCATGTAAGACAACAATACAAGCAAATTTTGTCATGGAGTCATATTCAAATTCTTAGTCAAATGTGAGTCAAAATAAAAAACCGAAGAAAAAAATAATTTTATTTTATTTTTACGAAAAAAATTATGTTCGCCCGAACACGTTCGCGAGCTGTTCGTGCAAACGCGCGAACACGTTCGCGTAAACGTGGAGGGGCACAAACACGTTCGCCGTGCTACACAGGCTCATTATTTGCTATATGGCTAAAAATGGAATTATTTGTTTGGAGCTGGTCCACTAAAGGTTATTGTGCATATGTCAGGTTAGGGATATGACTGATTTTAAGTTCCCCTCTAAGTCGCTCGTGAGGAAGTGGGTTATTGCCGTCATGGTCTACTTTTTCTTCAAAGAAAGCATATCCTCCTTCGCCTTTTTTCCTTCTTTTTCCTTAGGTTCTCTTTCTTTTCCTCCTTCTTTTTTCTCCCGATAACTCTTTTCCTATAGGCGGTTCCTGTTTTTCCTCTTCTTTATTTTTTGTCTCATTCGTTTCTCCTCCTCCTTCCTTCTTCTTCTCTCCTTCAACGGAGATTTCTCCCTTCTCCTCCTCTCTCTTCTCCTCCTTCTTCTTCTCATAGGCCTTTACTGTAGGCTGAGGAATCTCAATCACACTTCTCACTTGCATGGGTAATATCCACTGGCTTCATGGCAACCCAAAAGAAAATAAGAACTGCATCAGGGGCACCTAAGGGCAGAGAAGAAGAGAAAGGAAAAACTTTATAGGATGAATCTCTCAAAGCCAAAGCAATCTAATATACTTGGAAAAAAACAAAGGTCGTAGGCTTGCTAACTAGAGAAAAATTAATCACTGAACGTCCAATATAGAAGGCATTTTGCAGCATAAGAGGGGCACTTTGCTTGATGTCTCTGCACCTTTGAGATTTCACTTTTTTTTTTTTTTTTGTCTATTTTTTACTTACTTTTTGCCTGAAGCTTTCAAAATAGGATGAATGACACTGGGTTAGCAGGTTTTGTGGGTACCTTTTACGATTTACCTCTTCCGACTTTCCGTTATTTTTTTACCGAGGTTGAGAATTGTACATAGCTTAATGGGGTTTCTGGATCGCCCCAGGCATAAAACTTCCAAGGTAGACTTGGACGTCCGGAGGTTTGGCTTCATGAGCACCTCAATTGCATCTAGATGGTTTCGTGTTTTCGTCAGGTAGTTTTCTTGTCTTCACTTGGATTCTTTTTCTTCCAAATCTGGTCTAGATATTTCAAAGTCAAAACTCTCTTCTCGTTCAAAGGATCCTCTATTTGTCTCGTATGTTTTCTCTGACTTCTAACTTGCTTTTGTCCTACCTGGTCTGGATGTTAGTGCACGGTTGGCGTGAACTTGATGGTTAGCGTCATAGCAACAATATAACTAGGATGCAGAAGCTTTGGTCTTCACCTTCACGACTCATTTCAGACCCTTAACGAGTATCGATTATGGCGACCAGTCAAAACGCAACGTACGGTCGCTGCGCCATTAGCCACATTAACTTTAACGATTTATCTCATGGTTGAATCGGTACAGATTGGCGGTTCTTCAAAAGTATGTTTTGACCTCGACCGTTTTCGAAACTTGCTCGTGCATCCTTTTTCTTCTCCTTCTTCGTTTTTTTTTTTTTTTTTTTTTTTTTTTTTTTTTTTTTTTTTTTTTTTTTTTTTTTTTTTTTTTTTTTTTTTTCTCCTCCTCCTCCTCCTCCTTTTTTTTTTTTTTTTTTTTTTTTTTTTTTTTTTCTTTTTCTTCTTCTTCTTCTTCTCTATTGTCTCCCGACCTTTGTTCTATTCGTGCTCGGGTTTTTAAGTGGATGGTAACCACTATTCTTTATTAAATTATGTTATTAGCATTGATAAATGACTTAACTTGAGCATCACCAATAGCTCACGTAGTTATCGCCGTACGGATCATGCCACAAACCATGTGGCTTTACTTGGAATTCTGACTTTAATAGCAGCTAACATCTCTCTTACTCGTCTATCTATCTCGTTCGATTTCTATTTTTTGCTTTCTTGTCCATAATTATCTACCACCTTGCGATTCTCTTTGGTGTTTTTCTTATTTTGCTTTTGTTCGTTGTTGTAATAGCGCCCCCTATTTGAACGTCTTTTAAGTGCGGGTTTCTGGACCACTTAGCCTGTGAATTCTCGAAGTATATAGCTGTGCCATATGGATGACTACCGAAACAAACACGGAACGCTTGTTGGCGCGGTGAGACACCGGAGCAACAAAGGCGGGCCATGTATCAACAACAACACCAGTTGTGGGCTCTACTTTTGTGGGGGCTCTACGATCGAATCTTTGAAAGATAAAAATAAAAAATGGTTCAAGAAGTGTGTTTCGTTTGTCAAAAGGTTAGCACACCACGAGAAGAAGAACGTAAGCAATGGCCAAATTTCTCTTCTCACGCACTCAAAAAAAAAATGTTTCTTACAAGCTTGTATACTGCTCAAACCCTCACGCGTTCCTCTACATGCTTCAACGAGGTGCGATTCGGTCTCATCAGGAGGCTTCCTGCATAACCCCTTGCCTTTCGTCCCAACTCACTCTACCACCCACTGAGCTGTGAGGGCCGATGCGACCTTGCCCTCAACTTATACTTTCGGCCTCCCTGTTGTAGGCTCTGCCTTGCTCCTCAGTGAGTACTGATTGGCTAGAACCATCCTGCATAGGATCGTAGGTGTTTATCCTTGATCCCGTATGGTTATTTGATAAGGTTTTTAATGATTTCATAGCTAAATTATTTTTACGTTTTGGGCTAGGTTACCTGATCGGACGTCCGGACCCCCCTTGACCGTCCGGGGTTGTCCGATCGGACAACCGGTCGGTCGTCCGCCCGGGGCCCTACGTCCGATCAGTGGGGAATTTGGGGGGGGTGCTTCCAAGGGGAATCTGGCGCCGTGAGGGTGAGAAGCGGGCAGGGGAGAAGCGGGGGGGCTGAAGGGAATTTTTTTCCGAGGCCGGTAGGGCCTCGGAAATCGAAAATGAAAATGGCCCGATCTTGGCCGTCAGATCTCTGTGATCGACGACCCAGATCGGGCCGATTTCAAATTTGAATTCTGAGGCACTGCGGCGCTCTCTCGCACGTGACTTCGCCCTGCCCTGTCAGTGGAGTTCGAGGTTGCAGTTGCCGAACTCCGACGCCCAACGGCCGCAACCCACGCGCCATCGCCCGCCCACGCCAGGTGAGTTTGCTTCCCTTTGTCCTCCACCTCCTCTTCCTCCTCCTCCTCCTCTTCTTCCTCCTCTTCTTCCTCCTCCTCCTCCTCCTCCTTCTCCTCCTCCTCCTCTTCTTCTTCCTCTTCCCCATCCTCCTTCTCCTCCTCCTCCTCCTCTTCTTCCTCCTTCTCCTCGTCGTCCTCAACGTCATTATCCTCCTCCTCGTTGTCCTCCTCCTCATTCTCCTCAGACTCCTCCTCCTCCCCCCCCCC